TACTACTACTCGTTACTACTCGTTTATTTTCATTGTATATAATAATAAATATTTTTATTTCTATAAAATAAGTGAACATTCTGTTATTATCATTATTATTATTCTGCTTAATGATTTATACTAAAGTGAAAAGTACCAGAGATTTCCTTTTAGAAAAAAAAAAGAAGAAAATTGAACCGGAAAACAAATCAGCGTTAAATCAAATTGGTAGTGATGGGGGTGTTGGTAGTGGAAGGGAGTAAATATTATTGTTCTCAGACTTTTATCGATTACATTGGTCAAATATTGAGGTTTCGCCTACAATGCTGACAATAAATCTAATACCTTGGTTACAACCTATGTCATATGATCAATAGAATAACAAAAGTATACTTCATGGATGAACCAATCAGAATCATGAATAAGACTTTAGGATTTTTTAGCGTGAAATTCAAATATTGAGTATACGGAAATGTAGAAATATCATTGTATATTACTCAAATTGTTTAAAATAATGATAGTAAAAAATTATTTTAAAGAGTATACAGTAAAAATGATTCAGTTAAACATATCAGATTCCTAATTCTTGTAGAAACCTTAACCTAATAACACTACATTTCATAGCCAAACTAATAAGATATGCTCACTAGTGACTGACTTAGAGAGATAATTCCTGGAGTTCTAGTGAGAAGCAGTGATCGGTAGAGTTCAAACCACGTCTGTTGTAAGATAGTAACTCATTGAAGACAATTGGTGAACGGTTGCTCAGCTTCATGGATTGGTTAAAGTTAGACAATAACACCGTTGGATGCCAGCTCAGTCTTCTATCAGTTAAGTGCTAGGTTAAGTGGTAGGTCCTGGGTTCGAATCTCATGAGGCGAGGAGGTATCGTGGAGTCGGTATCGAGGAGTCCCATAATACGATGAAACGTCCGTCCAGTGCTGCCACTTTTTCCCTGGTGGTCCAGCTTCAATTGACTCATACTTTTAACTATGAAAATAATAAGATGGAGTCTTATAGTTTCCAGCTAAACTGACTCCTCCATATCGAACGTTTTTAAATGCTGGTTGATCACAATTCATGATATGGTGACTGTTGAAAACCTTTTCGGATCCTTTCATGGGCTCGATAATACGGACAGCATAAATCCTTCAAGATGATTTAATACGTCCTTTTTTTCCAGATATACAGAATGAGTAACCTACAGAAGACATTAACAGATATATCATTTGTGTAAGATCTATTTATAATCTACAATATTATTGTTTCATTTTCTATAAACTATCCATTTATAAAAACCGTTTTATTATTGACTAGAAACTAACCGGTAATTCGTTGCAGTTGTTTTAAGCTTATCCATATGTCATATTGAAGTTGACCTATGTCATCTCAATTCCTACAGTTTCAAACCACCCATCAGAATATCAGAAAGTTAGATGAATAGTTTCAAGTAACTTTTGTATCACGGCTTTTAACTCACGTAATCATATATATCTCAATAAAGTAATCATTAGAACATCTCTAAAACAAAGCCAAGTAACAGGTTGATTGTTAACTGACTGTAATCTATTTTGGTGTGGGTTTGTTCTCTGAGCTGGATGGTTTGGTGGTGGAGCTTTCATCATCCTTCTGAACGACATAATCAGCACGACAATGAAAGCTCCACAACCAAACCATCCAGCTCAGAGAACAAACCCACATCAAAATCACCCACCTGAGCTACAAATCTTCTCCACCATCTCAAGACTGTGATCTATAGACGATAAAATAAATTGAAAGGTAGCTATCAATAGAAATTACTTAAGAACGTTGTAGAAAGACTAAGAATCTAAATACACCTTGACTTTATGAATTCAGATTTGAAAAGTCATTCTTATGGTTTAATATTCAAATTTGAAGTTGGTTACTATGTTTGTAGAAACTCTCATAAAGTTTTGATTCGTATTTACCTCTGAATAAAGAAAATCAGTATTGACTTTTAAGTGTTTGATTTTTCACTTTGTTGCTGCTCAAGACTGAATCTTGATTTGCCTTTCGTTAGCAATTTGTACATTTTGAAGAGATTTCCTCCATATGTTCGTATGCGTTTCGTCTTACCCCGGACTCATCAACTGATTGTATCTATATTTTATTTTTGTTTGTTCATACTAGAACTTAAACGGAGTAGGTTTCTCTTCAAATGACAATATGTTATCCATTAGTTATTTAGATACAACATCTCAATTCTGAACTTGTTGACATTTATATCTTAGTGTGTTATACTTCAACACTGAGATGTATGTACGAGTCTCAAATACAGGGGAATGCTATTCCAGTATTCCTGCTTAGCTAAATCTTGTGGAAATATCGAGACACTCCATTCATTCAATCGAATGTTTAAAAACTTTACAAAACCTTATCTAACAAATATACTATATGATGAAAGGATTATAAGATCTGATCTAATCAATAAGTTGTAATGTTAGCAGAGATGGATAGTGGCTAGTAGTGGAGTACAGGACGCACGTCTCATCCTATTTGGGACTCGTCAGCTGGATGTACCTGTATCTCAGAGTTGATGTTCACTCTGGGACTCGAACGCAGTACCTTTCGTTTCAAACGCCATCGCATTATCCAGTCGGCCACTGGGTCCTGATAACCACTTCTATTTTGAAAGATATTTCTAATCAAAAGTTGTTGTTGTCAGCGAACGAATGATTTATGTGGTTAATGTCATCACTAAAATGTACCTATCTGTATTAGTTTAAAGACATATGTATATGATAGAGTTGTAAACATTTTTATTCTGTTGTTTTTGGCAACATAGTTTCTCACACGGTTTCTGAGGATTTCTTTGCATATATTGTTTGTAATGATCTAAATATGTGCTTCCAATGATGAATTAACCATCTTTGACATTAACAGGATGAAGTGACTCGTTACTGATGACAATTATGTAAAACCTATTCATTTTTCAGACTGATGATGATGATGATGATCATAATGTTGGTTAGGCTGAAATGAAAATTAAGTAGTATATGAAAAAAACAGTTGTTCATTATTACTTTATAACTATCCAAGTTTTGAATCAATTCTGTCCTACTGAAAGTTAATCTTCATTTGAATGGTTCATTAGTTTATTGTTCTTAAATAAATCATCCGAAAAATTCAAGATTTAACCTATTCTATAGTTGAGATCATGAGTTGATTGAAGCTAGACACCCACGCGCTTGACTGATAGGTCCTGTGTTGGAATATCATGAGGTGCTACTGAGGAGTCCATAATAGGACGAAACGTCAGTCCAGTGCTCTCAGGTTTTCCATGGTGGTCTAGCTTCAATTGACTCATGATCTGAATTATGAAAAAAATGAAAAGTGACTGAGAGCCTGGAAATCTTTAACTTTAAAATCGAATTGTAATGTCACTGGCGTAATATATATTTCTCCCAGAGATTACTGTCGTTTTTCATTAATAAAAATGTGTACGATTTTCAACTACTGTTAATAATATTGTTGTGAACAAGAAGATGAGTGAAGATAATCGAATGTATTAAACCACAAATGACATACTATCTCACTGAAATCTGTTAATCATACAGTGAATCGTTAATTTGCAATCTATCAATCAATTTCATAGTTGAAAGCATGAGTCAATTGAAGCTAGACCACCCAGGTAAACCTGGAAACACTGGACGGCCGTTTCGTCCTATCATGGGACTCCTTAGCAGTGCGCATCCACGAACCCGCTCTCGCGAGATTCGGACCCAGGACCTACCAGTCTCGAGCCGAGGCCCTTAACCGATAGACCACTGAGCTGGCATCCAACGGTGTTAATGTCTAACTTCAACTGATCCACGAAGTTGAGCAACCATTCACCAATTGTCATCAGTGAGTTCCTATCTCATGACAGACGTGGTTTGCACTCCACTGGTCACTGCTTCTCACTAGAGCTCCTGGATGTACTTCTCGAAGTTACTAGTGAGCATATGATTATATTAATTATTTGGAGGGTTCGTGGATGCGTACTGCTGAGGAGTCCCATAATAGGACGAAACGGCCGTCCAGTGTTTCCAGGTTTTCCTCGGTGGTCTAGCTTCAAATGACTCATGCTTTCAACTATGAAACATATCAATCAATTATCTAAATCTGAACTGTTCCTTTTGCAGAAATCATTCCTTAGTAGTCTGATTACTATTGTTCATGCAGGTTCATACCGATTGCGATTCATTTTTGTTATTTTTTTTATCAATCTTCTTCCAAAATACATCCTGTGCCTGACCATCACCATATACTACTTGTATGGATATAAGTAGCCTACACCACAATATTACCTTAGCTAATCCATAGGTTATCTTGTTTATTACTTCTATCTAAATGTAGTAATTACATCTCAAATTGAAGTGATGAATATTTATTGTTAGTTTCGTGTTTTCATCTGGAGCATCGAGATTGATTTATTTCATCAACCATCTGAATTATCATTATTCTAAGAAATTTCAACGATGGTAATATAAACAAGTAGTAAGTTACGGAAATACATTCATATTTCTTTTCTTTTTAATCAACAATTAATGTTTAAAAAACAACTTCCTTACGCCTGTTACTCCTCGTGAAGGAGTATAGGTCGCACACTAGCATTCTCCATCCAACTCTCTCCTCAACAATCCTTTCCAGTATTTTCCAGTTAAGATTCATCCTTTTCATATCGGCTTCTATTTATTGGTGTAATATGTTGTTTGGCCTTCCGCTTTTACGCTTCCCTTCCGGATTCCAAGTAAGCGATTGCCTCGTTATGCAGTTTGGGGAATGTTTCAACGTATTTCCGATCCATTTCCAACATCTTTTCCTAATTTTCTTTTCAGCTGGAAGGTTAATAGACAGAAAAAAAAAGTTATTTTTCTTTTAATAATAAACGTTTTATGCCATATTATGCATAAAATGTTGAAAAACAACAAAAAGTTTTGTTTATCCAATTATATACATTTATATTAATGCATAAATAAATATATATCTTAGAAACAAAAAAAATTTTAAAAAAAATGTGCGCGTATTTTTTTAACCAATCATATTCAAGTATTTTATTTCATTCTGATTGGTCAAAAAACAAATTTCCTATCATAATTAATATGATTATTCAATTGAATTGAAATACAAATATTCAAGGTTATATAAATAAAACAAAAAAAAGGCGTGAACTTTTAAATTTCAAATTTCTTTTCTTTCTTCTTTTTTTATTTTCTCTTTTTTTTTTCTTCATACATTTTCATGAACATGATTTATCTATAATGTTTCATTATTGAAAGGTATATGTATGTATATATAGACAGAGAAGTAAACAAAGAGATACATTTAAATTGAATCGGTTGGATACCACTATATGAGAATCGTTTTCACATAGCAACATAGAAACTTATTACTATTATTGAATAAATCATGTGGATTACTACTAAATTCTATCAAACCACTTATAAACATACTACTTATAATCATATTTTTCTTATTCTCATATTATATTCTATTAGATTAATATGGATTGAAGCCACTATTGAATCTACACAATTAAATGATAAATCCTATACAGATTTAAATTGGGAATATGATATCAGAAGATCAAAATTATGGTCACCTAAAACACCATTAAATGTATGGCCTGATTTTAAATTAATACAAGAATGTGATACAGATGATTTTAAATTATCAAATACTAATTTTAATCAATTAATGATAATGAATACTACTACTTATAATAATAATAATAATAATCAAGAATTATTTGAATGGACTAGTATTAGTATATTTACTATTGAAAGATTAAAACGTGGTTATATATTACTTGGTGGATCATATAAAACGAAACCATTCAATTTAAGTAGTAGTACTAATAGTAATAATAGTAGTAGTATTGTATCACCTAGACATAATAGTCAAATGATTCTTTGCCATTTAGATTGGAAATCTAATTATGAAACATTATTAGGTTTTGGTTTTAATTATAATGCATGTATAATACTACAATCTAATTCTATGAATAGAGATTATAATGATCATGAATTTCTTGGTGCTACAAGTCAATCATTAAAAATTAATCAAGATTTAAGTTTATTTCTATATTGTGATCCATTATGGAGAGCTAATTCTATTGTACCAGTTGGTAGATGTTTTTTACATTATATACATGATGGTGTTATACAATCTTATATAGAATTAGCCGATTTTTGTCAAACTGGTTTAAAAGTTACTACACCATGTGCTGCTGGTCATAGTATTGCATTAACATACAATAATGATAATGATAATAATCATGGAAAAGGATCCAAATCAATTAATGAACACTTATCAAATGTTAGATTATGGATTGGTCAACCATTATCAACTCCATATGGACGTATACAAATCTTAACTAATCTTTATAGTGATTCAATGAAAGTAACAACTATTAATAGACCAGAAACTACTACAATTGAATCTATGCCAATCGGCTCATTATTTGGTTATGCATTAACGGATGGTTTTGTTACAGCACCGGGATTACTTACTCGTGAACAATATAATTATACTTATATCAATCATTTAGTTGGTATCAATGTTGCAAAATCTTATCGAGATAAATTTAATGGATTTTATGGTAATATTGATTGGTTCCCAGAAATCAACAGTACTGATCCATTCAATGGAAATGGTATGTCTGTCCTTCGTGTACATTTAAAAGGACCATACATTAAAAGTGTTATCATGGGTGCACCATATGCCGGTAATACAGATATCAAAAATAATAATGATACTAAAGTGGATCCTATTCAATCAACTGGGTATAATATTGGAAGAATCTATTTATTTTGTCAATCCGATCAAAGAATCAATATCAAATCAGATTCCTATAAACCATCTACTACTATCATTGATTATTTAGATGGTCCAAAAAATTCTAGAAATTTTGGTTTTGCATTAACTAATCTTGGTGATTATGATGGTGATGGTAATGATGATGTGGCAGTTGGTTCACCAGATTTAGAAAATACTATAGGTTATAGTTATATTTATTTAATACGTATATTACCCAATTGTAAATTTGATAGAACTCCTTTACATATATTAAGGAGTCCTAAAAATTCTCCTGATTTTGGTGCTCATCTTCCATCATATACTGATGATTTAGATTTCAATGGTATCAATGATCTAGTTGTACCGATGTCACCAATCAAACAAAACGGTATATCTGATCAACCTATTATTGTTTATGCTTCACGTTATAAATGGATTGCTGATTGTCATTATATATTTCCTCCATGGTTAGCTATAAGAAATCTTTTAAAAAATGATTTAATACCAATTCAGATCATTATTTATTTTAAAGATCCTAAAAATAAACAATCAAGATCCGATCAAACCGATTTGAAACTATTAAATTCATTACAAATTGATAATTACATTCATCAAATCAATCCTGATTGGAATGCCACAGATACAAATGGACAACGTTTCCAATTAATGAACTCTATTCAATCACGTTTAGAATTAAAACAAAATCAATTAATTATTGATTTTAATATACAAGCTAAAATCAATATTGAAGATATGAATGATTTAGAATCAATAACAGGGGGTGTTTTTATCGGTTATCGATTTTTACAACCATGTTATGGTAATCAAAATGTTATTGATCAAAATGGTACTTGTTTAGATGGTGGCTGGTTAAAACGTCCATTTATTGATTGGTCAAAATGTTTGGCAAAAATTCCATTATCACGTTATGTATGTTATCCAACTCCAGTTTGTAAAAGTGATGTAGTTCTACGGGTGAAGGATATACAATCCAATAAAGTCATGGCTTTTCAATATATACATGATAAACAGAAATCAATATCTATATTGAATCAAAGTGATACTATTCAGTATCCCTTAACAACTACAGTAGATCTTGAATATGGTAATCGAAATAGTTCTAGACCACAATTACAAATAGAAATATACAATTATGGACCAACAAAAGCACAAGGTATACGAATGGAATTACAATTTCATGGTAATTTAAAATTTTCACGACTTGAATTAGAAGTGGACAGTTCAAATACAGATAGTACCAGTCGTCATTCAGAAGTATTAATGGTAGAAGTTTCTGAAAATGAAACATGGGTACATTGTCCTATTGGTACTTTACTACCACCAATCATTCTTTCAAATAGTGATAAAGAAATTATTGAACCGAATCAACGATTTATTCTATCTACATATTATGATAAATTTATGTTAGATGATGATCAAGTTGATTTTCAACTTGGTGCTGGTGTTACAATTAATGTCATCACTGGAACACCAGATCCTCAACCAATTAGTAATTCTATACGTTTTAATTATCAAGTTATTCATCGACCTAATATACGTATCTCATATGGTCCTGGTGAAATACCAAGTAGAATGGATAATCGATCAGTGCCATCAAAATCTATGCTTAGTCAACAAAAACGTGTCATTGTCTCTGAGATTGGTCCAAAAGTTGAACATATCCTACAAATAGAATATATGGGACCATCGAATAAATTAAAAAATGTTACAATGAATGTTTTAGTCCCAATTGAATTAGATTCAATGGATAAAATTGGTAATGCACCACAATATGTATTGTATATGTTTAATGAAATACGTGCACCATCATATAATGATAATTATGTACTTGAATGGATTGATTCAAGACCTAAAGTATTTGCTATGGGCAGACATCAAAATGATGGTAGTAATTTTAGAAATGATGATGGTGATGATATGAGTAAAGTTGGAAGTTGTATAATAGTGAATAGTGAGAAAGTAGTTAATCCACGTGAACTTATTCCAATGGATGTGAACACAGGTAAGTCATTGTGTTTGTTTATTTACTTACGGTATATTTGTGTTCGTGTATATTTCAATTTATATGTTGTTAAACATGTAAAACATTGTTCTTTTTAATGATTGATACTGTTACTTACTTACTTATGCCTGTAACCCCTCGTAAGGGGGGGGAGAGAATAGTCCACCCACCGGCATTCCCCGTCGAATTCTGTCCTGGACAATCTTTCCTAGTTGGTTACAGTCACTATTCATTCTTTTCATGTTTACTTCCAATTCCTGACTCAATACGTTTCTTGGTCTTCCTCTTTTCCTTTTCCATTCTAGATTTCAAGTTAAGGACTGTCTTGTGATGTAGTCTGATTATATCAGCAGTGTATGTTACAACGTCTTTTCCTAATTTCCTTCTCAATTGAATTGCTGGTTTGTTTCCTATTATAGTAGGTTTCTGATAATTGTATCCGGCATTTGAACATTAAGACTCATACTGTTACTTAATAATAACTATATATGCAATAGAATTTCTTCCTTTAAGTAGTCACGACACAATTCTTCACTTTATAAAGCCTCATACATGCAGTTGTTTTAATATAAGGGGGAAATGTCTTTAACTTAGTTGAACTTATTAGTGTATTTAACTGTATTATCATTGTTGTAAAATGAAACTATAAAAATCCATAATGAAAAGTCTCATATATTCCCTTGTAGTTAAAAAATTATCTCTCTTGGCACACATTAGCTGTTCGAGTAAGTCGTACAGGTAGGTGTAGACCACCTAATTGAGGTCTATGTGGTTGCTTTATTTAATGGTTGGATGCGTTGGATAACAGAGCTCAGGATCATGTATAGTCTAGCATATGCATTCATTATTCGTCTTAAAATACTTACATGCTTTATTATCTAACATGAACAAGGATACATTGTTGTTACTGGTCAAAAACACTTTAAATATAAATTATATACATGAATTGAAATGAATCTTTAGTTTACCACTGATTGTTTTCTATTCTAAATTACTCCAATATAATCTCCTACCACTCAATCACTTACTTACACATTCACTTATACACACAAACTCATGTAAAAACGTAAATTCGGCATAAAGTTAAGATGTACAAGAAAGCCCATCAATAAAGATTACACTTGTTATTAGAAGGGGGTTTTGTGAAGATTTTAGTAATTTAGTAGTTAAATTCATTAATCAATTATAGCTAGACCACCATGAAAAATATGAAAGCACTGGGAGGCCTTTTCATCCCAGTATATGACTCTCGAGTAGTGCCTGTCCACGATCCCACCAGAGGGATTTGAAGCCAGGACTTAGGTCTTGGATGATGAATCCATGAAACTGGATAGACCACTGCAAAAATACAACATCAACTATTAAGCTAAAATAAATTTCGTTTTTTTTAAACTGTCAATTCATATCTCAATAATGTCTATATGAAAGTAACCGAAATAACCATGAATACTACATAGATATTAAAATCATTTAAAGAGATGTAATTTTTGATGTATTTTGATGGTTATGATCTTTTATGGTGTAGTTGGTATATCATCAATCAGTTGGTAATCAACCCAAAATGATTCATAAACTGTAGGATAGAGGTTAAATTTTATCCACTGACTAATTTAGTGACTTCACCCCATTGCATAAGCAAGTGACTATCAGGACTCAGTAACTAAGTGGATAACGCCAACGGCGTTTGAAACGAACGGTAATGGGTTCTAGTCTCAGAGTGAACATCAACTGTGGAATGCAGGTACATCCAGCTGACGAGTTCAAAATAGGACAAAACGCGCATCCTGGATTCCACTGCTAGCCACTATCCATCTTCGCTAATTTAGAGACTTCTTTCTTTCGTAGACTTATAATTAAATAGTAAATACTATTAAGTACATTCAATATTAAATTATCATAAAAACAGAATTCCTATACATTCTTCAACTTTTTTAATAAAATAAGCAAAAATGGATGGTGATTAACAATGAAATCTATAAGGTACGTTTCGTCATATTGAGACTCGTCAACTGAATGTACTTGCATCCCAAAGTTGATATTCACTCTGAAGTTCAAACCCCGTACCGTTTACTTTAAACACCATTACGTTAACCGCTCAGCTACTGAATCCTGATAGCCACTTGCTTGTGCAATCGGATGAAGTGGACATCAACTTTGAGATACAGATACATCCAACTGACGAGTCTCAAATAGGATGAAACATGCGTCCTGGATTCCACTGTTAGCCATTATCTATCTTTGCCTATAATGCTTGTAAATGAAGTCTAGATCAATTTACCTCTAAATGAATGAATGAATGATTGAATAGAAGAACAAATTAAACGATGAATTAAAATAGATAACAAAGAATAGATAAAAAAAATTCTGATTGTTCTGTCTTTATTTCCTTTCTTTAGTTTTGTATGTTTTTGTTTCCGTCAACTATGACAATGTTCAGTTTCTACCGTAAAAAAAAATTTAAAAAAAAGGTTTTATTCTTAAAGAAAGAAATCGATTCCATTTGCGTTTAATCATGCCTATTACTATTATTACTGTTACTAGGTGATGTAAGTGACTGCTTTGTCTAGCATTGATTGAATGTGTATACCCAAAAGAAAGGCAAATCAGTTATATAATCGTTGAAGGAGGGGGGAAGGAGTTAATATGAATTAAGGAAATGAACTTCTTTGTTCCATAAAAAGTGATTGTTTATTCGACTTTGTTTTGTAAGCCTAGGATTGTTCAATGAAATGTAGCATTGTTTTTAAAAATTATATATGAGTATTGTAATATAGTCGGTATATGTCGTAGAGTAAATGAGATAACAGTTTAGTTATTGTCAATATTTTAGTATTATTCAATACTTGTTATAGGCAAGGTTAGGTAGTGGTTAACAGTGAAATTCAGAACGTGCATTTCGTCCTATTTGGGGCTCGTCAACTTGATGCACCTGTATCCCATAGTTGATGTTCAATCCGGGACTCGAACCCAATACCGTCACGTTATCCGTTAGCTAGTGAGTCCTGATAGCCACTTGCTTGTGCAATGGTATGAAATTTAAATTCACTTAATATTGTTTGCTTGTATCTCCTCATTGTTGTTTAAGACTGCCATTGATCAGTCTCTTATTGCTTGTGAATTTATGCAATGTTGAGTCAGTCTGCACAGGATCCACATATACCGACAAGAAACTAATCTATTGCACTCCTAAACAACAATCAAAAGATAAAAGCAAACAATACTAAGTGAATTTAAAATGCAAATATTAGTTAATCAAAACAATTTTCTAAATTTAATAAAATATAGTTTCTAACTGGACTCGCTTAGATATAAGGTATTGAATTTTGTGGGTACCCAAACATACCTAAATGAATTATTAAAGTCATCAAATTTGGAAAGGCTTTTTGTGGACATTATAGTAATTTTTCATTAGTTGAGATCATGAATCTTGCAAGGGGGGATCGTGGATGCGTACTGCTAAGGAGTACCACACTCGGACGAAACGACCGTCAAGTGCTTCTAGGTTTTCCATGGTGCTCTAGCTTTAATCAGCTCATAATCTCATCAAATTCAGTTGAAAACTATTTTAAATGAAAGAATTTAAATTAATGATTGTTTTAAGAATGACTTTATACAACCAAGAAATAAGAGTCATGTAACAAGTATATACTGTATTTTCATAGTTGAAAGCGTTAGTCGATTGAAGTTAGACCACTAAGGAAAACCTAGAAGCACTGGACGTCCCACGTTTTCAACTATGAAAATACTAAATCTCCACAAAACCTCTTCTGGATATACTGTATAATGTATTCAAAGAAAGAAATGAACAACTGTTCTCGATTTATCATGAACAATAATGTAAACCTCAATTTCTACTGACTCCCTAACACTACTGTACTGTATTGAACAAGAAAACGAGTGCGAATAGCTGAATGTATTTTACATTACAGAATATCTCATTAAAATATGAAAACCATATAGTAAAGAGTTAAATTGCAAAATAATAATCAATCGTCTCAATCTTGACTGTTCCTTCTACAAATATCAGACCATTGTCTCCGATTATAATTGTTCATGCATTTTCGTACCAATTGTGTGCCATTCCCATTCTCTCCTTCTCGATCTTCTACTGAAATACATTCAATGCCCAACCAGTGTCTATATACTACTCATGTGGATATCAGTAACTCACACCACACTACAAATAGGCATAGTCACCAATCCAATACTTTGCTAACAATCTTAAGAATGAACAACTGTAAACAATGCATAGTAATAATAGTAAAATGATTAAACGTAAACAGCATACATATGAATAAAAACAGTATTATCATAGTTTAAACCTATACAATGCATTTATACAATTTCAAACTGCAAATCACATATCTAGACAAATGGATGCTTTATTGATTGGAATATTTGGTATTTTAGGTTATCTGATAAACTGTAAGTATAAAGTCAACAACTTAAGGTCTGACAGTAAAACCACACTACCAACTGTACTAGTAGATGATGATAATCAAGTATTTCCCTCAGAATGTTAGCATCTTCAACAATCTTGACTTCTCACAATGACAGTAAGAAGTCAAAAAAACGTCAGTCCTAAAAGTAGCACTCATTAAATTCACCTGTAGGGTTTCTGTTTCTGCTATTAAGATATCAAAAATATTGAGCTAAATATTGTCAAAACGTCATCTTTTGGGTTCTGTGATCGTAATCTCACCCCTTTAAGACTACATTTGCCCTATTTTCTTCTCCAGGTCCATCAAATAAAAACATCATTTATGTGTAGTGCACAAATGGCAGGTGACAACCTCAAATAAATAAAATTAATTAAACAAATAAATATTGTACAGAGGGGCGCCAAATACATATGCACCACACAAATAACTTGATTTGTGTGTGAACTATGACATTGCCTTGGTACCCAGATAGAAATATTTGAACTTTTTGCAGATGGTAACCTAACCTAGTGATTAAAATGCTTTAATTTGAAAAGAAGATTCACTTTATAGTATTAT